CCATGCAGTTGACAGGGTGATTTCGTCTTTACTGTTAATGAAATTGTCATCTTTTAGTGTAGCCATACAGATGTACAGGGCCTCTAGCCATCTAAGATGGTGTGTATATTTTGTGGTGCGGATTACCTTGGCTTGGCTGAATAACAGCTCTATTTCTGTATCTGAGGCATAGATGGCTAGAGCGGTGGTTTGCCTTGCATGTAGAATATCTGCCATGTGTTCTTTTATTCTCACCTCTTTGGAGCGCTTAGTGGATCCTAAGTAGATCAGGCTTCTGTTCCATCTATGGTCTATAATTGGGATGGTATATATGCCTGGAAGTTGATCTTTGTTGGGGATATCTTTCCCGTTCCGTAAAATATCAAAAATTGTTGTGCATCTTCTATATGCGATGCGAATATTCTTTTTCTTGGTTATTGTGTTGTAAAGTGATGTCAGGTACAGATTGTATGTAACCAGGATGATACTAGATGGAACTTCATTGGGTGCTTGTATTTGGGCTACTTCTTGGCAGCGCCATTTGCGGATCAATTTACATACGATCTTAGGATAACCATGCTCTTTAGCTATTTGTTCAATACACCTTGGTTAGGCATGTAGGGATATCTGATCAGACGAGTGTGAGAATGTCCTCTTAATTAAGGCGTTGAAGGCTGCCATTTTATAGTGAGGTGGATCACACGATCCTATTGGAATGTAGAGATGTTCTGCCCCTGGTTTCCGGTATACTTCCGTGTGGGTTACTGTTTGTTCAAACTTTATGTTGATGTCTAGGAAATGCGCTTCCGAAGCGTGAGCTTGATCTATCTCTAAGGTCAGGCCGTATGAATTATCATTGAATAAATCAATGAACATTGAAATATCCGGCTTTAGCCTCCATAAGATGAGAATATCATCTATTTATCTTTTATATAGTATGATGTAAGGTGAGTATTGAGGGATGACCTTAGCTTCTAATTGTCGGACCACCATCTCACATAGGTCCCCTGCGATGGGACTACCCATCAGGACGCCTCTTCTTTGGCCGTACGTGATCCCATTGAATTGGAAAAAAGAATTATAACATATAAGATGCATCAATTCTAGTATCTGTTGGTGCAAGTTGTTATCATTTACTATGTTGAAAAGTACGTCTCTGATGGTGCAAAATACTGCCGGGAGTTTAATAGACGGGTAGAGGGGTTTAAAATCTAAGACTGTTATGAAGGTAGGAGGCGTTGATATTTCCTCGAGGAGTGATATTAGGTCTATTGGGTGTGTCAGAGCATAAGAATATCCTTCTAGCTTAGGCGAGAGTATCTTATGTATTAGCTTCTCTAGCTTAATGGTTGGTGCCCTGGCCTTATCAATGATTGGTCTTAGTTGTTGTCCAGGTTTGTGGACCTTTGCAAAGGCGAATAATCTGGGCGTATCTGGGGAGTCTATCGTGATATTCCTTAATTCCAGGCATTTGGCTAGCTTCGTATTTAAAAAGCGTTTAACTCTCGCCTGTAAGCTGTCAATGGCGTTATTACTTGCAATGGTACATTGCGTGTTGGCTATATGCTCCTCTAGTAGTCGATTATATGTATCCCGTTTCATGAGAACGATGGATTGGCTTTTGTCAGCTCTGACCAATGTGACTTTATTTTGATGCATCCATCTTCTAGTGCACTCCAAATTAGATATCACGTGTTTCATATCTTGTGGCTGGGTGGAATTTTTAAGTTTGTGTGTGGCCTTCCATCTGTAGTACTCCTTTTCCTTATCCGGTAGGCCTGTTATTAGAGATTCCAATTCAGGGATAGGATTTAAGTCTTCTGTGGCTGGGTAAGGTGCAAACTTCGGTCCTAAGCTCAACACTTTGACTACATAATTCAGTAAATTGAATTTGAATTGCATTCGATTAACAGTCGTATGTTACCTGAAGAAGAACTGTTAAGTTCGAAAACGTTCGTAACGCTCTGTTTACCGAGAAGCACACCGGCAACAGGTTCCTGGTACGTTGTTTATTGGTCAACATATTAATATTTAAATTGTTATGATACTATGAAAAAATTAGTTCACATCAAGAACTTTTCATGAAACATTGAATCTGTAAAAAAACAATATAAAGATTGATAACTTTGCATAATTATCATACAGAAAACTGAGACTCCATGGAACAAAAAGACAAAAAGTCTTAACTTACACTAAAAAGCTGGACAATATGTATAAAGCAACATCTCACAAAATAGGATACAATATAATCTACCAACAAAATCCTACTGTAGCCTACATGCATTAATAAGTAACAACAAAGATTTAACACCAATAATATTCTGGGAGTATATGAGATTCCAGCTGTTAACAGAAACTTTGGCACGTGCATCAAGTACATTGGTTACACAAATACACACTGTTTACTATATGTGAGATTCAAAGAACATATGGCTGATGTACAATTAAGATGCTATAATACAGCCTTAGCAGCATATGATACACAACCTAATAGTGAGGTTGTATAAGATGAAGCAAAAATTATCAAACCAATAAGAGACTGCAAATTAGGAAAACAATGGAAATGATCAAAATACACAAACAAAAGACTTACTGATTAACATCAGAGACAAGAAACATTTCCTAATACATGAAGACTACTACACAGAAGAGAATAACCCCATCAGAATTATATTTTCACTTTCTGATTTTTTTTTATTTACATATTCATTTATTTATTTTATTATTCTATTTTTATTGCTTGGTTAATGCTTTAAAAAATGTTATTCAAGTTACTTGTCATTAATCTACATGTTATTATACTTTTAAATAATTTAGTGCATTTCACATTTTAAATTATTTTTTAATATTTGAAGACAAGTTTGCACAAATAGACATCACCATTTTTTTCCTTTTGTGTTCTAGACAGTACATTTCCAGCAACTGACCTTCCTTTCTAGGCTACTAGCCACCAAATTAAAGTTTTAAAAAAGTCCTTTTAAAAAACACAAAAAGATTTCCATTTTTTTTTTTCAAATCAAATCAAATCAAAGTTTATTTATCGTATAAGGCTTTCGCCTGTTACAAGGGCGTGATTACTATATACAGCATATTCATCCGCCACCATTAGAACTTTAATTAATCATACAGATAATTAACATTGTTTATCTAATATATAGTACATATATTTACTAATTTACTCTACGTTTTTATTCACAAGTTGCTTAGACCAGTTATATAACTTAAAGATAGTATTGATGTTTGCTTTGTCAAGGAACTTATACATATCCGTTTCATTAGAGCAGTTAACTAATCTACCAATATCAGCATTTTGCATGTTCTCATTTTCGTTGCAATTTTCACAAAGAATATGAAATTTTGATAATGTGTTACTGCAACTTGGGCATTTGGTCAGAGTATTCTAGGAATTTATCATTTATAATTATCCAGTTTTTGTTTAGTCTTAACTGAATAAAAAATTTTTTAACATTAAATGCAAGATTTGTAAGCATATAACTATTATTTGATGGGTAATTTAAAATTACTTTGTACCAACTTGTATTATTACGTTTCTGTATGTCATCGATATCTTGGACGATAGAGTTTTCCATTACTCTTTGTATTAATAAATTATTTTGCTGTTCACTGATGTATGATTGATCCATAAATAGTTCCAATAGTAGAAAATCCGTATGTGTTAAATATCTTCGATAGTTGTACCGTCCAATTTCGTTTTAAATCTGTGATCTTTGATTTTTGATATAATACATTCAGTAATTTTGTTGTTAAATCTTCAGCATTTATAATTTTTTGAAGAAATTTTATATACCTTTTTATTAATATGGTGTTTACTTTATATCTACTTAGTTCCATTCTTAGAGCACTGCCTGGGCTATTGTATTCTAATTGGAAAATTCTACGAATAAAAGTATTTTGTATTTTTTCAAATTCATTGAATTTACCTGTAGACCAAATCGGAGATGCGTAACACATCGAGTTAATGATAATTGAATTAAAAAGTTGAAAATGAGTTCTCAAATTCTTAATTTTGGCTTTGCAGAATAACACTATCAGATTATTTATTAAATTTTATGCCTTTGTTATTGAGCTTTTATATTGTTTGTCAAATGATAAATTAGGCGTGAATATTATTCCCAAGAATTTAACTTCATTAACTATTTTCACTTCTTTCTTGATATAAAAGCACACATGTTTTTTGGGTAAATTACTGCCATTACGAAAAATCATTATAACTGATTTTTTAGGGTTTATTTTAACTTTTAAATCTTCCAAGTATTCGGTTATTTGTTGAATTTTCCTGTGAAGTGCAGCAGCCATTAGAACTACTATTACAATGTCGTCTGCGTATGAGATAGTGTGTATGATTTGGTTGTCTATTTGGATGCCGTCTTCATCTCTTAGGAAACATTTATTTAAGTTGAATAGGTAAAAATTAAAAAGATAAGGAGACAGAGGGTCTCCTTGTAGTAGACCTCTATATGTTATAAACAATTTCCAATTAAAAACACAAAGATTTGGGTGAACTTGTCTTCAAATATTAAAAAATAGAAAGAACCATTGGACAAAAAAAGCTACGAATTTTAAATTATGTTGTGTACATGTTAAAACACACTTTTAAATATTCATTCATGATGTAATGAATTCTTTATTACATTCAAAAGATAGAATACCTGAAGATGGTCTAAATTAGACTGAAAGTACTTGTGTAGTAAAATTATTGCTGATAATAAGGTGTTTACTATTTACTTATTTAAATTATTGTTTACAAATGTAATTCTTTGAATTAGAATGTAAGAATCAATAAAAGAACACACTTAATAGCTAGTACTATCAATGCATAAAATAATACAAAATTAAAACTGAGATCAACTATTAAAGATTTGTGTGTACTACGAAAAATGAGCTTTTCATATAGTAAAACTATAAGTAAGCAATCATATTGTATTACTAAATAAAACATTTACTAATTTTTAAATAAAAATATTTTTTGAAATTTTCATTCTTATTTTTAATATACTTACTTTTTGAAGACTTGATGGATTTAGTTGAGTTTTATCAATTATCTTAATTGCAACCTATAAAATATTTTCTTAAGTTATTTTCTGCATAATTGTTATAAAAATCTATGACTTTTATTATAGTCAGTACTTTACTCATATTTAATTTAACTAATAGATACCTCTTTGCCTGTAGGAAGATGTTTCGCTAACTTAACTTTGGCAAAATTTCCTTTGCCAATAGTTTTTAATAAACGATATCTTCCTATGTGAGGTTCCTCTGAGGTTCGACTACGAGCAGATATACGAGGTGCCGGAATACTCTCTTCTCCCTTACAAAAAACATTTGTAGAATACATATTTATATTTAGTATGCTAAAAGTTTTCTAAAAAATTGACAAATGGAAGCATTAATCTAAGTAATTTGTTATTTATATTTATTGCTACTTACATAAAATATAATAAAAAAGTTTTCATTAAAAAATCTTTTTAGAATATTTTTCCAGCATATTTCAAGATATGCTATTCTATTCAAGATATTTGGAAAATACTAATATTTTTAGAATTTTCCAAAAATATGATAATTTTTTAAAAATATATGATAAATTTAAAAAACAAAATATGTTTCCCTGGGAAAATACAATATATTGATAAAAGCAAAACTCCATATTTCTAATATAATAAAACTACACTAATTAAACTTTTAAATAATAAATAATTATTAACAATTAATATGACATAATTTGCTAATTAAAATTATATTAAAAAATAGGAAAAACAATTCCATTCATATAAACTATATAAATACATATCAAAGTTTCAAACTGAATTATTTGACTTTTCAAACTGAACTGAATTTAAAATGTTTCACATGTACTTGTTTATATTATCTATAAGAATATATTTAACACTCAATAATATCTTTTATTATATGACTTGATTTTAAATGTTTTATTTTTATGCATTTATTTAAAACTTAAAAATATTTTAAAAGTAATTTCAAAAGAAAAGTTATATTAATAAATATTCTAATACTGTATAATGTTTTTAAACCTGCGGCAAAAGTTAATTTAATTTTGAGAAAAAATTTATTATATTGATTACTTGGATCAATAAGCCAGCTAAAGATGTAGTTATCTTTTCACTCAAGAATATTGTCCTAAATACTAAAATATATCAGTTAATAAAAATAGTTTTATTCTTAATCTTAATTTTTACAAAACAGTACTAATGAAAAGATAATATTAAATAATAAATCTATTATATTATTAGCAAATGTTATTTTTTGTAAAAGAAGTTTTTCTTTATAATTTATTTATTTTTGTCATTGCATCTTTTAGAAAATAAATTAAACTTGCATATAAAAATGTATTTCAAGTTACTTTGAATTTTTTTAATGCATATATTAAAAATAAATAACAACAAATTCAAATTAAGTTCAATTTATAAGTGAAATAATCATATATACATTAATAAATTCAAGTAAATATTTTCAAAATCATTCTATTGTTAAATATATACTTTTTTTGTAAACCAAAAAATGAAAATTACAAATAGATTAATAATTCAATTTAAAAATATGTGTAATGCTTTAATTATTTACGTTTTAATCAAGCAAAATTAAAAGCTTTATACTCTAAATAAATAATCTGAAAAAGTATCTGATATATTAGAAATAAAAAAAATGTTCTCTTTCTATTTAAAGTATTTTTTATAAATTATATTAAAAAAATTTTTTTTTACTAAATTCAAAAGTATCTTTATTAGCAAAAAGAGATTAACCCTGTTGCGGAGGTTATACAAATTTAATTACCATTGATAACAACATTTTTTTTTAAATAATATTGTGACATCGAGAAGATATTTATATAGTATATTCCATATTAGTTTAATATGAACATAATTAACAATCAATAACAATATTTAGATATTCATAACATTGTATTCAAATAATAATAGTCAAGTTTTACAACAATATCACAAGTTAACTCTTCTGATTTAATTTTCCAACATTTCTGCCGCCTTGATGAAATATTTATATAAATTGTATAGATCTTTTTTATTCAAATTGTTTAGATTATTTCTATAATCTTGGTGAGTATTATCATTTAACATTTGCGAGACATTAAGAGAGCTGTGTATATTTGAAAGACTGACATTCCTGAAGTATATGGTCAATTGAAGATTCTCCTGATTTACACCATGGGCAATAATTATTTGATAAATTAATATATATGTTATTAATATACAGCAAATATTTGTTTAGTCGTAATTGTGATATTAGTCTTTTCACGTTAAAGTTGATTGTTTTTATCATATAAGGTTGTACAGATGGGATGGGATATGATTGTATCAATGCAAGGGATGCTGATGGTTTAGCTTCGGCATGGAAGTTCTTTGTAAAAGAAAAGTTAAAACACACAAATTCTTAGTTCATATCTGCCTTTATAATGTGATGCTTTTTGATATATATATATTTTTATGAATTTAATCATTTTTGTACATTTAATCTTTTAGGTTTATTTTTGTTTTTAGTTTTATACCACCTTATTTTATTATTTATTATTTTATTATTTACATCAATCTATTTATTATAGTTATTTTGTATAGTGATTGGTTATTTTATTTTACGTTTTAATTTTGAATTTGTAATGTTCGAAAGTTCCGTTTTAATGCAATTTTCAAAGGTGTTCGATAACTTGTCACCTGATGATGGCCTATTCCATTAGGCTGAAAACGTTTGTGTATTAATAAATATTTCTGTGTTATAAGGTGTTGATTGTTTTATTAAATATTTAAAAGAAGCTAGTTTGATATTCAATTTGTTGTACTAATATTTTATACCTATGCTCTTTTGGTTTAATTCTTCTGATGTCAATGTTGCAATGTTGTAAATTATATTTACCAAGAAAGTATGCAAAGAATTTTGGATTCTTTTTTCTTTTTTTGTATATAGCTAGAAAAGAATTGCATATTAAACAACATTTGTCTTTTATCTTTGTAAAAATTTAATTGACTTTCCCACTGTTCATAAAAATGGCAGGTTTTCTTTTTCTTCAAGGCATTCATTTTAAATAGAAAAACTAACAAAATTTGAAAAAGAAATATACCTTTTGATACTATTTAGAAATACTAATTAGGTACTTTTCACCAAAAAAAATAGTAATTTATTTTCAAAGGAATTAAAAGAAAATCAAAGGTGTAGCACTTATAATACTTACTACAACTAGCACACAATGGTCCATGTGCAATTCATGAAATTTAATGACATTATAGCAAACATTGATGGACCGACTAAAACCTGCTTTGCAATTGACTTTGATCAACCTTACTTTGAAACCTGAAGATATTCTGAAGTAATCACAATAGTAAACTCTGATTCAAAGATATAATATAGACAAAAAAAAGAATCACGCACAAAGAAATTGAGTATATCTTAAACATTGTAATACTAGTATTCTCAGATATCTCGAATAAAATATTCTTTCATCAAAAAAAAATATATTGACAAATTACCACATCAATTGACAGAAATGTAGGATAAGTTTACTTGATTTGATGCTACTACAAAGATTCAGTAAGAAAATACTATCACTGTGTGTTTAACTTCTGAAAAGATGATTAATCCAGGACTGATAAGATGTTAGATGATCTAATAATAGAGAGGTTGCGACCGAAGTTTTCATCTGTAAAACATGAACGTCAAACGTCAAGCGCCGCTATCTTGTAAGCGACGTTCACGTTTTACAGATGGAAACTTCGGCCACAACCTCTCTAATAACAACTGAAAATAAAGCAATAATTAATACTTAAATCTTGTATTCTTGTTTTACAAGTAATCATGTGCTGAAATGAAATATCCTCAAAGTGGTGATAATCAAGTAATAGTCACTGTGTTTATAAGATAACTACAAAGCTGAATGAATACTAACTGATATACATGCATTTAAATATGTTCTTTATGATGGCAAATATAAAATAAGAATAAAGCAAACTGTCTATCGGCATTAAAGTTGTTTATTTACAAAATATTTAATTAAAAACAAGTACTTCTGATAATTCAAAATGCCATCTTCAGGTTAAGCTTATACCATTCAAATTACCTTCTTTTTTAAAAATTGTAATTGAAATGATATAGGCTCAACCTGAAGATGACATTTTTAAATATCAAAAGTACTTGTTTTTAATTAAATATTTTGTAAATAAACAACTTTAATGCCGATAGACAGTTTGCTTTATTCTTATTTTATATTTGCCATCATAAAGAACATATTTAAATGCATGTATATCAGTTAGTATTCATTCAGCTTTGTAGTTTGCTTTGTTCTTACACATTCATTTTCCTGCAAGAAATGTTTTAAAAAATTTATGCGATATGGTATATAGTTATATGAATAAATATTTCTTCAACATTTCAATATGCATGTAATGAAAATTATGCAATTTTTGAAGAAGTCATTGGTTGATAACACTTATGCCATAAAAATGACTATTTTCATATTTTTATCAGATTAAAAATATATGATTTAGAGGAATACAGAAGAGAACATACAATAATAATAATAATTATAATAATAATAATAATAGCATATCATTGCTTATAAAAAAAAATGCAATTATCTTAGAAAATAAAACTTCATGCCACTTGTTTCCTAAGACAAACACAAGAAAATGAGGAAAATGTTTTCTATGTATAGTGGCCTCACTAATTCAAACTACACTTAATTTAAAAACCAAATTTGTTTACTTTTCTGTTAACTGTTCCAGTCTAAAACAAAGAAATCATAATTATTTTTTAAAAACATACATACAAATTTGAAAAATATGTATCAAATATATTTTTCAAAAATTTATACTGTTATAAAGAAATTTATAACATCGGAGTAGATAAATTAACCCAACTTCACTGCCTGTAACCAGTATGCTTCTTCTGCAATGAAAGCAGAGGACTTTGCAAACATTTTTGAACCTAATGTGGTTCTTCAGGAGCTATGGAATTCTCTATTTGAATTTGAATTTCCATCAAAAATTAACCGTTGGCTTGGAAACAACGTTCCAGAAAGATTTTCCAAGCCAATGGTTAATTTTTTATGGAAATTCAAATTCGAATAGAGAATTCCATAGTGCCTGAAGAACCATATTAGGTTCAAAAACGTTTGCAAAGTCCTCTGCTTTCATTGCAGAAGAAGCACACCGGTTACTGGCAGTGAAATTGGGTTAATTTATACTGTATATATTTGTTTGTAGTCCTTTTTTTTATTTACTTTTCCTTATATATAACACTACTAATATGGCCAACCTACATAATAATTAGTTTGAATTACTGAACATACATTGTAACATCATCAAGTAACAAATTCAAAGATCTGAAATATTTTATTAATAAGAATAAAAATATATTAAATGATTTGAATCACTCTAATATTCAATTATTTTCATAGCAACTTTTATAATTATCATTATGAAATTTAAGCAAGTTTCTCACCTGATCAGCCACAACTGATTCATGAACTGTCTGAAGTGGAGTACGAACGCTGGCAGACATTGTAAATATACTTTCTTCTATAAATCCTAATAAAATTTTTCCTAGAAATTTAATATATATAATCAATTAAACTTTGAATACTTTCAAAAGAATTTCAATGAATATAAATACTTAATATAATATTTAATTTTTATTAAAAAGTACACATTTAAAAAAATAATCAATTTAATTTATAATTGTATCCTCTAATTTTGATTTAAAACAATGATTCTTAACCTGTGATGCAAGCATCATTGGAGTTATGAGAAATCTTTTCTGGAGGTGCAAGATTTCTTAAATACTTTTCAAAGATAAAAAAATATATTTAACTTTTAAAAACTTTCTTATCTTTTTTGTTTAGAACTGAGTCATTTTTTAAAATAAGATCATAATAAAAATGCACAAATATCAAATTTAAAGATGCAGTTATATACTTTTTCCTGTCATAAATCCTTAACCAAGACATAAATGTTTTTATAATGATGCATAGACACACAAGAATTTTCTNATAATAATAATAATTATAATAATAATAATAATAGCATATCATTGCTTATAAAAAAAAATGCAATTATCTTAGAAAATAAAACTTCATGCCACTTGTTTCCTAAGACAAACACAAGAAAATGAGGAAAATGTTTTCTATGTATAGTGGCCTCACTAATTCAAACTACACTTAATTTAAAAACCAAATTTGTTTACTTTTCTGTTAACTGTTCCAGTCTAAAACAAAGAAATCATAATTATTTTTTAAAAACATACATACAAATTTGAAAAATATGTATCAAATATATTTTTCAAAAATTTATACTGTTATAAAGAAATTTATAACATCGGAGTAGATAAATTAATCCAACTTCACTGCCTGTAACCAGTATGCTTCTTCTGCAATGAAAGCAGAGGACTTAGCAAACATTTTTGAACCTAATGTGGTTCTTCAGGAGCTATGGAATTCTCTATTTGAATTTGAATTTCCATCAAAAATTAACCGTTGGCTTGGAAACAACGTTCCAGAAAGATTTTCCAAGCCAATGGTTAATTTTTTATGGAAATTCAAATTCGAATAGAGAATTCCATAGTGCCTGAAGAACCATATTAGGTTCAAAAACGTTTGCAAAGTCCTCTGCTTTCATTGCAGAAGAAGCACACCGGTTACTGGCAGTGAAATTGGGTTAATTTATACTGTATATATTTGTTTGTAGTCCTTTTTTTTATTTACTTTTCCTTATATATAACACTACTAATATGGCCAACCTACATAATAATTAGTTTGAATTACTGAACATACATTGTAACATCATCAAGTAACAAATTCAAAGATCTGAAATATTTTATTAATAAGAATAAAAATATATTAAATGATTTGAATCACTCTAATATTCAATTATTTTCATAGCAACTTTTATAATTATCATTATGAAATTTAAGCAAGTTTCTCACCTGATCAGCCACAACTGATTCATGAACTGTCTGAAGTGGAGTACGAACGCTGGCAGACATTGTAAATATACTTTCTTCTATAAATCCTAATAAAATTTTTCCTAGAAATTTAATATATATAATCAATTAAACTTTGAATACTTTCAAAAGAATTTCAATGAATATAAATACTTAATATAATATTTAATTTTTATTAAAAAGTACACATTTAAAAAAATAATCAATTTAATTTATAATTGTATCCTCTAATTTTGATTTAAAACAATGATTCTTAACCTGTGATGCAAGCATCATTGGAGTTATGAGAAATCTTTTCTGGAGGTGCAAGATTTCTTAAATACTTTTCAAAGATAAAAAAATATATTTAACTTTTAAAAACTTTCTTATCTTTTTTGTTTAGAACTGAGTCATTTTTTAAAATAAGATCATAATAAAAATGCACAAATATCAAATTTAAAGATGCAGTTATATACTTTTTCCTGTCATAAATCCTTAACCAAGACATAAATGTTTTTATAATGATGCATAGACACACAAGAATTTTCTTAATTACTTAAGCTTTACCTAAACCTAAGCTAACATACACATCAAAAAATAGCATGACTATTACTTTAAATAAGAAAACAAATTTTTCATAGGAATGTAAACACACATTAAAAAAGTTACAATGTTACATTAAACATGATATATACTATGTTAAAATAAACAGGTTTTTATTTACATATTTGAGTCACTATTATAACTGAAAAATCTAAATACAAAAACTAATTTTTTAATAACTGTGTATGTACAGTACATACATATAAATCTACTTATGGTTTTATAAAAACAACTCCAAAAACATGATTTTTCATTAAAGTCAGATGATCTCCAGATTATTGAGCTATAATATTATTGGTTGATAATTTGGCAGATTGTTTAGCTATAAATCTACTTAAAATAAACTTTGAATTTTACTTTACAGTCTAGTATAAAACATATCATATATATATATATATAATTCTCAAAGAAGTAATCATGGCAATGAATATACCTTATATAATCACAAACACAATATTCAACAACTCTACTTTTTTTTAATTGTTTTATTGCTACCATCACATTTATTTAAGGAAAAATATATACATATAATTTATAGCAAAACCTACAATGAGTAATTATTTACTAAAAAATTATAATGCTCATAATTTTTATTTAAACAACACAATTGAGACTATAAAGAAAAATAAGTAACTTTTTACATTGGAATAACCATTATAAAAATTTTATGCAAAATACAGTAAATCCCACAAACTTGACTTGTGCTCTAAGAAAGTCACGAGTTACTGAAAATGGCAAGTTTTACAGCATAGCAATAATGCCAGCCTAAACAGAGGAATTTTCATAAAGGTATTATACAGGGTGGGCCAATGAAAACTAATTGGCAGAGTTTTTGGATAGTTTGATTTGTATTTAAGCAAATTGCTCAGACAGGTCGATTTTATTCTCGAGGGGGACATGTCAGAAATCATGCAAGGAAAAAAAAATTGATCATAAAATTAAGACTGATAATGTGTTATCTATTTTCAGATGTTCTTTTTTGTGGTGTTCACATTAAGCTTCACCACTCAGTGATTCAATCAGAATTTAAGATTATTATTTGTTTATTGTGAATTGTGTACAACAATCATTATGGTTTACACAACTGCTGAAAAGATGGAAATAGTAATTCTTCATTTCAGAAATGGTGAGAATGCTCATCTTACTGCAAATTTATTTAATCAACGCTATCCAAACAAACATTGTAATGCAAAATACATTCTGGAGTTGGTTCAAAAGTTTCAGTTAACGGGTTCTGTGGCTAACAAAAAATGCACTCCCGGACGTGAACATCCAATAAGAAATGAAGTGAAAAAGATTGGGGTTTTGGGGCAAGTTGCTGCAGACCCAACTTTAAGTACAAGGAAGCTGGAGGCTGTGACTAGCATTAGCAGAAGATCTATTCACCAGATCCTCAAAGCTCACAAGTTTCATCTGTACAAAATTAATTTAGTTCACCAGTTAAATGAAGATAATTTTGATCAGTGACAGCAATTTTGGGAAATTATGACAGAAAGGTTAAGAGTTGACGTGGATTATCTTTTTAACATTTATTTTTCCAACAAGTGTGTTTTTTTTTAAACTCAATGGTTAATCATCACAATTGTCAATATTGGTCAGATAATAGCCTGTGACCATAGGGTCGGTATCTCTTCGATACCTCGTCAGGATGACACCACTGTATCCTTCGGTCGATACAGAGACCACAAGTTCGCGCGTGCGGATAGGTATGAGGGTTGGACCCGGAATGAAGAACTGAGAGAAAAACGGAAGAAACTGCACTCCAGAAGTTTTAAACATAAAAACCCGTTTATTTATATATAATCTAAATTAAGTTTACATCAGCGAATAAAATACGATACATAAACTACACGAGTTATTATTCAATATTTAGTCCAAATTAACGACCGGGTGCGCGTTTCGTTACGCGGAGAGAGAGAACGTACAATAGTGCGCGGGCAGGATAAATACCTTAGGTTGTAGGAGCTCAAGTCCAAAATCAGCACAAAAGGTCCAACAGTTCCTTTTAGGTGAACAGTTCTTTTTAGGTAAGTAGAAAAATTTCAGTTAAGTTCAGGTCTTTTAGTCTTGTAGAGGAGGAGGAGGAGGTTCGGATTCTTGGCGGGAGGTAGACGATCGGAGCGCACACACAGATACCAACAATAACTTCCACCCCCTTTCTCATCATGCCTGGCCCTTTTATATCACGTCCTCATTTTCGAACTTTTCTCCGATTTCGTCAGCGATGACGATCTTCTTGGTCCAATGAGGGGACAGGTGACACAATCGTGACACAGAAATGTACTCATCTCAACAAGGAACCTAACTCGTGGGAATCAAGGTTTTTATTGATTTTATTTTTCCTTTTTCTCTTTTAATTTTCTGTTTTCTCGTTCCGTCTTTATAAAGTTTATTAAAAAAAATTATAGTTTAAAACACTAAATTTCTGGTCCTCACATTTCATGAAGTTCATAGCCAAACTTCACAAAGGCTAAATGTGTGGGCTGAAATCTTTGGAGATCGAGTACTTGGCCCCATTTTCCTAGATGGTAATCTAACAGGAGAAAGTTATTTAGATTTACTTGAAAATGTTGTACATCCATTACTTGTTGATATCATCAAATGTGACAACTGATACTTAGAAGACCGCCTTACTTTCCAACAAGATGAAACCCCCACATTATTCAAAACCAGTTACAGAGTTTATGAACACGGCTTTTCCTAGGCATTGGATCGGATGTAGAGGTCCTTTAGAATGGCTGGCTAGATCCCCAGATCTTAGTCCTCTTGATTTTTTCTTTGGAGACATTTAAAAAGTAAGATCTATGCAACCGAACCAGGATCTCTTGAAGAATTATGACAAAGAATTGTAGACAAGTGTTCTCAAATAACATCTGAAACTTTCCGAACTGTAAGAAACCATTTTGAGCAAAATATGTATTATTATATGGAGGCTAGTGGTGCTCAATTCGAACATTTATTGAATAGATAACTTTTTTTATGTTTGTGTTACTTTTTTTTCCGAAATAAATGTTTGTTTAGTTAATAAAAAAAAAATGTTTTTAAAATTTTTCCTTGTCTTTTGTATTTAGAATCATAAAAACTTTATTGCAAAAGATACCCCCTTCGAGAATAAAATCAACCTGTCTGAGTGATTTGCTGAAATACAAATCCAACTATCCAAAAACTCTGCCATTTCGTTTTCATTGGCCCACCCCATATGTACAAATTTGTGTACATATTAACTATGAACCAGAAGTGACTTTATTTACAGTTAAATTTTAATTAAAAAAACCTACTGACTATTTAGTAGCTACTTTAGAGTTTGGCATATGCATCATGGTGTTCTTACAGTGGCACCTTGGAAAAAGAGTTATATTCTTTATTCATACATAAAATTCATGCTATTATCAAGTTTTTGCCAGTAAAGAACGATAACTTATTTCATCTTAGTGTTAAATTAGAGGTAAAAATTAGATTACATGTATTATATTATTATTATTATTTCGAATGACACGATAAGTTTTACAAATGGCAAGTTATCAACAGTAGAGATCTTGGACTCTACTATATATATATATATATATATATATATATATATATATATATATATATATATATATATATATATATATATATATATATATATATATATATATATATATATATATATATATATATATATATATATATATATATATATATATATATATATATATATATATATATATATATATATATATATATATATATATATATATATATATATATATATATATATATATATATATATATATATATATATATATATATATATATATATATATATATATATATATATATATATATATATATATATATATATATATATATATATATATATATATATATATATATATATATATATATATATATATATATATATATATATATATATATATATATATATATATATATATATATATATATATATATATATATATATATATATATATATATATATATATATATATATATNTTAATTAAATTTTTCAAAATAGAATAGAAATATTTCATTACATTTGTACTAACACACAGTTGTGATATAAACTATCAGTTTTTGTTCTAATCACTTAATAAGAAATTATATATATTGTTCTACTTATGAGCAAATATATACAGATATTAATATAAATAAAGAATAACAATTACCATAACAATGTATTCATTTTTAAAAAGGAATATACACTACATACTTATAAAAACTAAACTAAATACTAAAAATTAGGTTTTAAAGACAGGTTTGTTTAAATTTATAGAATTATTATAATATATGTTAAATAATAAAAAATGATCTTATGTAATATATTGGACAAGGTTTTAACAAAAATGTTTTTTCTTTACAATGAATAAAGCCAGATTAAACAAAATAAAAATAAAATTACATAAACTAACTTTTCTCTGATAAAATTCAAAATTGGTTAAGTATGATTAGAATTAAATTTGATGAAATACAAAATGATAATGTTAAATGGTTAGTAAA